GAGGAGGAGGAGGAGGAGGGGCCGGGAGATCGTGCCGCATCGGCGATGCGGCTCGGTGTGGAGCCAGAGTCCCTCCACGCCGACGCTGCCGATGCGTCGCCGACGTCGCGGAGCCGCCCCGGATCTCTGGGCCCCCCTCTCTCGCCGTGCCCGCAGGGGCCACGCCCGCCCAGCCGCTTCCGGCTCAGCCGGGCCCCTGCGGAGGGGGCCTGTCGGGTCCGTTCCTCGCCCGGTGCTGGGCCGGGCGGGGGGGCGCCAAGTGCTCGCCTGCACCAGTCCGGGCCAGGCCAGTCTTCGTCGAGCTGTCGGCCACGCGCAGAGGGGGGGGGACGGCTTCTGAGACGCACCCCTGCTTCTCAGAAGGCGCGGGCCTTGCCTGTAGATGTAAGGCCGGCGCCGGTAGGGTGTGGCAGTTCCCAGACCTCTCCTGAGAATCCCTCATTCGTTTTTTTGTTGTTCCTGTCGAGGGTCTTGCGTTTTTTTCCTGGCGGGGACCCATTGAAAAACTTCAACTGTTCTGTTTTACGGGGATTTTTGGGCCCCCCAATGAAAAGAGGACTATTCCTGATCCCCCAAACCAAAACAACTCTGACGAATTCCCGACCCACCCCCGAGCTGGGGGGTTACGCTAGGTCTCTTCGTGTCGACTGGTGGCAACACCGCCGCCGGTTCAACGTCGAACGCAGGCGGCGGCCCAGATCGGGGGCCACATGCGAACCCTACCCCTGCCCCCCACGATTTCTGAGGGGGAGGGTGGGGTTCACTTCGCTCGGGAGGTCACGAGCGAAGTGAACCCCACCCTCCCCCTCCTCAAAAATCGTGAGGGGTGGGGGTAGGGTTCGCATGTGGCCCCCTACCAGAGTGGGTGGATGTTGAACGATCGAACGTTGCGGAAACGGCCGATTGTTCACGGAACGATCCCCGCGGTGTCAGGAACCAGCGCCCAGGTCGACACGGCACGAACCTGCCGTATTCCGGTTTTTTCAAGGGTTCTCCAGTTACCCCAGGCTCCGAGAGGGGAAATCCCCGATCCCCCCCAATTCGATTTTCCTGGATGTTTTCGCGGGGTCTCCGGCCGCCCCAGGCTCCGAGAGGAAAACCCTAGATATCAACACCATCTCGGGGATTGTTCTGTGTTTTTTTCGAAGGCTTCCGGGCCCCCACAAAAGCAATATTGTTGTTGAAAGCACCAAGTCGGGTTTTTTCAGGTGGGTTTCCGGTGATTCTCTGGCCACCCCAGGCTTCTGAGGATGTCGCAGACGAAAGCTTCGTTTTTCGAGAACCAACCAACGTTGTAGAACAACTCCAACATCCCCATATTGTAAGGATGTCTCAGGCGCAGCATTTTGGATATTCGACTCCCTGTCTCCAACATTTGAGGTTTTTTGGGGGAGTCTCAGGCGATCGTGCCGTTTCTGATAACCAACGTCGTAGGACAACTCCTCCAACATCCCAATGGGTGAGAATGTCTAAGGCGAAGCGCTCCTCCACACCATGTTGGATCTCCGAGGCCAATCTCCAACATCCAAAGTTTGTGAGGATGTCTCGGCCGAAAGCCATATTTCTGACAACCTACGTCGAACAACAACTCCTATCGCATCCCCATTGTTTGAGGATGTGCCAGGGAAAGCGCCCCCCCCCCCCCCCCCCGCACTACATCGGATATCTGACGCCCGATCTGCAGCATCTAATTGTTCTGAGGGTGTGTCAGGCGAACCTCCACTTTTGATAAACAACGTCGCAAGTAAAACAAGTCCTCCAACATCCCTATTTTGTGATAATGTGTTGTATATCCGACGCCCGATCTCCAACATTCCATATGTCTGAGGATGTTTCAGGCGACACTTACTGCTTAGAACAATCGTTGTAAGCAACATCCCCATCGTGTGAGTATGTCTCAGGTGAAACGCTCCTCCTTCTGCTTCTCCTCGTCCTGCTCGTCACCCCTCCAGTCTAGGGCCAATGGCCCAACAAAGCAAAGAGAGCCTTGGGCCCAAGCGATGGTAGAGCGGGGAGGTAATCACATGAATTTGTTGTAAGGGCTTTCAGGTAAGAAAGGTCTTACTGGGGTCGCCCTCGGTGCCAGGGGAAGCCAGTGACCAAGTGGCCGGTAACATAACAAACGAGAACCCGCCATGTGGCTGGTGGTGGTCGTTGTGATGGTGCGCTTGAGCGAGAAGGTCTGGGCTTGCCGAGAAGGAGGCTCGACGCTCAGGCGGCCGAAAAGTGGCGATTCGATCTCAAGCGTCGCGACCGCACTATTGGATTCCCAGCGGCTGGGCGACAGTACAGTTCAGTTCCCATCTGCGAGTCACCGCGGCTCTGGAAGATAAAGCGGGGGACAGCGCCTCGGGCAAGGCGCTTCGAGAGCTCGAGTGGGCACTGCACCCCTGGAATGCTTAGGGCCGTAAGGGGGATGCAGGAACTCGGCGGGGGACGGGATTTCAAGGGGTTCGGGATTTCCATGGGGCGGGAAGGCAAACACGTAAGGCATTTGTTTTGGCTCGGGAAGTCTTGCGGATGCAGGAACCCAGGATATGGAAGTGGACGGACATATGAAAAGTGGCAGGCGAGAGTGCAAGGGGATCCAGAATGGATTATGCGATTGCGTTATTGCTCAGATCACTTGCGATTGCGTTATTGCGAATGCAAGGAGCTCAGATCTTTTTCATTTGCGATTGGGTTATTCCCTGTTGCGTTTGCCTAAGGTTGCCAGTGTTAGTTGCTCTGTGTTTTGCTCTAAGTGTATTCAATTGCAATTCATCGTTGTGCAATTTGTGTTGCGGATTTTGTGGTGCCAGCAATGTGATTCAAGCTATGTGGTGTAATCTACGTGGTGCAAGTTGCGTTGTTAAGACTGACGCGACTTCTAACATATCTTCGCCCAAGTGCCTTGAATCCAATAGTGTTTGCTCGCGACTCCAGGGGTCCAATCGTCGCTTCTTGGTCGCCCCATGGAGGCTATTATGGATTACCCCCTTTGCGGATCGTCGGCTCCAGCGGTCACTCGGTGAAGGCTTCCCCAGGAGGTTCGGCAAGGCCTCTGCGAGGCTTCCCTTCGGCGGGGAGCCTCCGGGGGGGCAAGCGAGCAGGGCCGGGCCTCCTCGGGAGGCCTGGCTGCTCCCTGGCCTGCTGAGAAGCTTCCTGGGCCTCCCCGGGAGACACCACAAGACGTCTCAGTCGTGAGCCTTGAGACGGGGGTCAACGCAAACGGGGGTCAGCCAGAGCGCCCGATCTTGCAGGATCCTGCAGGGCCAGGGTCGCATTGACCCGGGTTTGGGTGCAGGATCCTGCAGGGTCTTGCAGGATCCTTCGCATTGACCTGGGCTTGGGTGCAGGATCTCGCAGGATCTTGCAGGATTCTGCAAGGCCTGACTGACCGGGGTCTGGATAGACTCGGTCGGGTCAGACGATCCCCGACCCAGAAAGCCAGGGATCCTCGGGGAGGGCCCGCCGCCTTCTGGGAAGGCCCTCTCCTCCTCTCACTCTCTCCTGTCGCTCGCCGCCGATCCGCGCTCAGCTCGGTGCCGCTCCGGCGCCTCTACGCAGCATCCGCACGAGGCGCGTTCTGGAGCGCCCTCAGTCCTGCGCTTCTGCGGCGGTCGGCTTCCCTGCCTGCTGGGCCCCGACCGTCTCCCCCGCCCTCCGCCTGGTTCTTCACGTCCAGTGCACGCCGCGCGGGCGCCGCGCGATCTGGTCTCCCAGGTTTCAGTCTGGCCTGTCCCTCTGCAGGAGGAATACATTTTTCACAGTCGAAGAATTGTATCGGGACGATGTTTTTTTGAGTATTTGTGGGTATGCTTAGAATATTGTTTCGGCTTTTATTATGATTCGTCCGAAATCCGCCTGTCGGAGGACATGCCCGACCGAAGCCCAGGTTCGGCCATCTCCTTCTCCTCCCGGCGCCTCCATGCGTCTCTTGCTGTTCCTCCACGCACCGCACGAAGTGGCACCTTCCGCCACCCGAGAGTGCACGACCCGCTCAGAGCGGCATCTTTGCCCTCGCGCCCGGAGTGGCGTTCTCTGCCCCGAAGTGGCGCTCTCCGCCCGAAGCGGCCTTCTTCTTCTCTCGCCCGAAGTGGCGCTGTCCGCCCGAAACGGCACGACCCGCTCCAAGTGACACTTTCCGCCCGACGCGGCTGTCTTCCCTCTCGCCCGGAGTGGCGCTCTCTGCCCCAAAGTGGCACGATCCTTCCGAAGTGGACCTTTCCGCCCGACGCGGAGTTTTGATTTTCGCTTGAGGTAGCGGTCTCCGCACGAAGCGGCACCATCCGCCCGAAGTGGCGTTATCCAGTCGAAGCGGCTTGCTTTTCTCTCGTCCGGAGTGGCGCCCTCTGCCCTGGAGCGGCACTATTCGTCCGAAGCTGATCTTTCCGCCCGAGGCGGAGTTTTATTTTTCGCCCGAGGTAGCGGTCTCCGTCCGATGCGACAATATCAGCCTGAAATGGCAGTTTCCGCTCGACTCGGCTTTCTTCCCTCTCGCTCGACGTCGCGTTCTCTGTCCCTAAGTGGCGCTCTCCGCCCGAAGTGGCACTTTCCGCCCGAAGCGGCATTCTTCTTTCTCGCCCGAAGTGGCGCTGTCCGCCCGAAGCGGCGCTCCCCGCCCGAAGTGGCCCTTCCGCCCGAAGCAGCTTTCTTCCCTCTCGCCCGGAGTGGCGTTCTCTGCTTCGAAGTGGCACTATCCGTCCGAAGTGGCTCCTTTCCGCCCGAAGCGGTGCTTGATCTTTCGCCTGAGGTAGCGCCTTCCGTGGCGATACTGTCAGCCCGAAGTGGCACCTTTCGCCCGACTCGGCTTTCTTCCCTCTCGCTCGACGTGGCGTTCTCTCTGGGTAGTCGAAGGCCAGACTGT